TATGTTCCAATAGAATTCTTGTATTTTATAGCATTTGACAATATTTGATTGTGAGGTTCAACAGCAGTGGTAGGGGATGCAATTTTAAAATTAATGGTGATACTGTTACAAATCTTCTAAATTATTTGGACACACACAGACAAATCTAGGATATGTTTAACTGACAGGGGTGATGGTGTTGCCCGTGAATTCAAAATGGATTATAATAGCTAAATCTCGGAATCAATCCAAATGCCTATCAATTGAGGGATGGGTCCTTTTTTCTATAATGGAGTACTACTCAGCCATAAAAGAGGATGGACTTGCGACTTTTATAGTTAAGTGGAATCAGTTGGAGACCATACTCATAAGTGAAATAAATCAGACCCATGGTGTAAACATCATATTGTCTCACTAGTGTGAGAAGCTGAACAAGTAAATAAGATCCAAAATGTGCAATAGATATTGTGAATTAGGAAGAAACTATGCAAAAGAAAAGAGAAACTGATGGTGGAAAAAGGAAATGAAAGAAAAGGGGAAATATATATATATATATATATACACACAAGATAGTTATTCATCTAGTTTCTCTTAGTTTATTGAAAAGAAAGGTTTGTACTAATATTGTTTGATCAGTATTTTATGCCAATATCTAGTACTCTGAGTAATTACTATGAAAATAACAATATGCAATATATTAATTACTGTTGCTCTCCTATTAGCCTTTATGGAAACTTATTTTTATTTCTATTTTTATCTTTAAAATTAAAAAATTTTGAATAAATTATTTTTTTCTCACTGATAGTTATTTAAAAGACTTGTGTGAACATAATTCTATGTAAGCTCGTTAAAAATTTTCTACCCAAAGAAGAAATCTTGTTCTTCTGTACTTTGATTTCTCTTAGAATGTTTTATTCATGTTGTTAGCTTAATGCAGACTTAGTCTGACTTGGTTGTCTGCTTATAAAATGATCTGATACATAATGAAAACAAAGCTTCTTTGACAACTGTCTCATGCGATTTTAAAGTATATTGCATAATTCAAGCAATGTAAATGTATGCAAAGTATTTCAGATTTGATTTTCAGATGATAAATTGAATGCAGGTGTTCATTGTTTTCCTAATTGTCAGATAGTCTATTTTATTTCTACTTGAAATATGATGAATGCAGCCTTACAACTGCACTGCGAGAAGCCTGTGCATACATGCCTTTGGTTTAATTTTACTCTAATGTATATATGATTTCTTGTTGGGCAAACCTCCCAGGTTTCCTTGCCAGCATGGTATTGTGAATGATGTTAAGGCTTGAAGGATCTGTAATCAGATTACTTATAGCTGTGGACCATTACATTATTATGATAAAACAATGGTTTCTAACTTTTCTGTGTTACAAAACCTCTGAGAGTTGTAGAATCCCTCCCTGAGAGAATAATTGCATTATACACAAATATATTTTTCAGTCCCTTTGAATCATATTATTTTACCTCAGATTAAAAACTCTGCCATGTTTTTGTACATTGTTTATGGGAATATCAGTGGAAACCACCTTTGGCAATTTGGAATACTTGTTCTAATTAGAATACACGTACTCCTGTTTCTGGGTAGACATTTATGTGATTTTGCTCGCTAATCAACCCTTCTTTAAAGCTGCTAGAAAGTGACATAAACTCTAGAACAAGAATAGAAGATAACTTTGGCAAAAACTGGCTGGAAAGCAAGGGTATTACTAGTGATAGCCTCAAAAGCTCTGAGAAGGCCAAATTATAAGCAAATAGTCAAGCAAGCAAAGATTTTGTTTGCTGAAGAATTCTAAAAATTCAGGATCTGGTAGTACCAGCTACCTTAGGAACTGGATGGATCAGGAGTGTTTGTTAAAGGCTGTAAGTGGCAGTCTCATCTCTAAGTCCCTGTCAGCAGCCTGTGACTGTCTCAAAAGACATGTGTGTGTTCTTTGTTGACTGGGAAAACATTGGATGCAGTCAAGGACTTGAGTGCATTCCCAAAAGCAGCGAGGAACAGACCGTGCATGTATGACTGCTGAACGGGGAACCCACAGTTTCTGCAGTTTTACAGCCACTATCCTGGTGGCTTGACTCTATCATGGCTGGAAATGGGAAGAGTTTAGTTTCTACAATCTAAGTCTAGTCTAGAAGGAAAGACTTACATACAAACCTCAGAAGTTTCCCTAAGCATCTCACTGCAATTACACCATAGAAAGCTATTGGAGAATTTGTTCCAGGAAAACAAGTCAACTATGAAAGAAGATTGGATGGGATATAGAAATTAAAAGTCTATGATACAATAGAGATGAAGAGTTATCCCTGAGCTGGTGGTATAGTTCTTGGTCGAAAGCTGTATGACTAGCAGAAAAAGGTTAGGGAACTCCAAGTGTGACTTTTTAGGAATATAAAAGTAGTGAAATGTTTTATATGTTAGAACATCTTGAGAATAGATTTAGATGAATAGCTAGTGTTTGGTGTTGAGGGAATCATGAGCGTATAGAAATCTAACCACATCAAAACAGAAGATAAGCTCTAATTCTATGGAAAACAATGAGTTATTCAAGAAAGGAATTTTAGTAATGTGTGGTTCAGCTATGAGTAGTGTTTCTATAGTCAAGGATGTAAACACTCACTATTGATTTAATCAAAATGATGCTATTGAAAGGATGGAGAATAGGAAATGTGAGTGTGTATTGTGGGTTTGGAAACTTCATTCTTCTATAGGTAATAAAGCAGAACCATCAGAGGGCAGTATGGAGAGTTACTAGGTGGAGGTATTGTAAGGTAATTAAATTACTAAGCATGATGCTTCATCCTCTGGAAAGAGTCTTCTGTTTTTGTGCCCTGGTCATGGCCTCATTGTGCATGAAGTATGTTCTCTTATCTTTGTTTCTGGATTTGACTGTCTGACTTGCTTTGGACAATGGGATTTTACCAGATGTACCGTAGGCAAACCCTTAAAATGTGCCTCTGCTGCTGGGCTTGTCCTCTCGTGCTGCTCTCACTGCCATAAGAAGACAGACTCTAGGTGCTGCCCCTCCCGTGTCCACGGCAGATCCTACACACGGATCAGAGCTCCACAGCCCTGTGGCGGAGCACAGTGAGTTTTCAGCCACCACACAGCTATGTGAGTGAGAATGAAGTTTGTTGCCCCATGCCATTGAGGTTTATCATGTACTTGTTACTCAGCAAAAGTTAACATTACACGTAAAGGTAAACAGTAGAGTAGCTGGTTAAAAGAAGGAAGAAGGACTGCCTCCCAGGACAACAAAGTGGGGCAAAACAGATGAGATGCATGGTTTTTCATAACAAATCTTGTGGAGATGTTTGGTTCTTTAAACCTGGTGTGTGACTTTTAGGGTCATCGAGTGGTGTATTCATTATCCTTTCAGTGGAATGAGGGGAAAAGTCACAGTTTTTGCTATTTTTGGAATCTATCCATGTGTTAAGGGAAGAATGCTGTTCACCATGCAACAATTCGCTCATATACTATTAGGTAGTATTGTGCAGGTGCTGAAAGTACAAAGTGGTATTCTACAAAACTTTTATATTCATATATGCATTGCTTCAAATTATATTTTCTTGAATCCAGAGTCTTCACACTGACCTACATCTCCAGACCCCTTTAGTTTTCGGGTTTTTAGTAGATGTGTGCAGTACATAAAGCTTGCCCCCCTCGTGTGGAGTTGGTGCGTGTATAAGACACATCTTCATTCCTTTCCCTCCGTTTCCTTCTCTCCTTCCATCTCTCCATCCCTTCCCATATGAGAAAGAGCTATCTCTTTATTTCCTTTTTTCCATCTTTTGTTTTGCTCTTTAAAGACAAAAACAAGCAATATCTTAGCCCATGTGTCTGATTTATTTCACTGAACGTTATGGTTTTAATCTGCATCCAGTTTCTTACAAATGACTGAAGTTTATCTTTCTTTATGATAGAGCAGCACTCCTTTGTGTAAATACCCCATTTTCTTTATCCATTCATCTGTTGATGAACATACAGCCAATTTAGCTGGTATGATTCGTGCTACTTTAAACATAGATATGCATGTATCACTGCAGTATGATGCCCTAAACTTTTTGGAAAGATACCTAAAAGAAAATAGCTATGTCTGATGAAATTTCTAGTTTTAGTTTTGTGAGGAATCTCCCATCTCTTTTAAAAGATATTTTATTCTGATACAAATTCTCTCTAATTCACTAAGTTTTCCCAGGCTGGGCTTCTACTTGTGATCCTCCTTCCTCAGCCTCCCAGAGTATGAGATTACAGACAGGTGCCACCGTGTCTATCCTGTTGCAAATTATTTAAGTTGGCCTCCTTTTTTTGGCCTGAGTTCCTAGGGCCAGTATTCACGTGTCATTTGTCTTGCTTGGACTGGCATTAATACAGAGCTTGGCAACGTGTAATCACTCAGTGAGTATTTGGCTGAATTATACTATTGCATTATTTTGGTGACTCTTCTCAAAATGCTTAAAATGTTATTTACATTTTACTGAATCTGAAAGATATTTCCGTTTTTTCTCACAATTGAAACTCACTATTCTCATGTTCGGAAATGACATGTAGCTCTTTGAAGGAGGATAGATTGATATTTTATGTATTAAAATGAATAAGAGAACTGTGACCTATAAATGTCTTGAGATACAAATACAGAGGATTTGGGTTTTACAGATGTGTATGTTTCTTAAATGAAGAGTTCTTATACAGTAATTCCTCAGCCATAGCTTCAGGCATTTTATAATGGGTTTAGGGGAGTAGTTTATTCATTTATCTGTCACCTGAAACTATTGAGGGGACTCTATAAACTGTTGGAATTGTACCATTCCTGTTTACTCATTTTGTTTTGCTTTCAGGGAACAGGAATCCTATTATAATGTAATCAGTGGCTCTTTAAACGGTTTGTGAGTTGGCTGGGCTCTTCCTCTTGTGTTTGCCATTGTTTATGAAATAAAAGGCTTGTTTTTATTTAAATTGCATTGTCATTTCTTAACTCCCTGTCTTTGTTTTCCTTTTTACACTAGTGTAGTGACTATGACTTGGACTTTGGAACTGAGTGCTTGCAGTTGGCTCTGAAGTACTGTTGCACTAATGCCAAACTTGTGGAAGGATCCCCTGACCTCTGGAAGGTAAGAGAGAAGGTTGATTGCTCTGTCTCTTCTCCCTTGCTTGAACACACGTGCGCATGTACACGCCCTTATATTTTAAAGTGATAGAACGTAGGACTTTAGAAGAAGAGTCTCACTGGGTTTCCTGAGCTTTTAAAGTACGATTTTGTTTCTGTTCCTTGGCCTCAAATAAATTCACTTTCAGTAATAAAAAAATGACACCCTTTTAGTGCATCGGTCTGTTTTTGTCACCATTTCCCCCTTTTTCCCCTTGTGTATCTCATTCACTCAGTTGGAATGAGGCTTTGCTGTCCCCGTGCAGTATTCCCTTCCAGGCTGGACTGGTAGCTGCAACTTAACTGGGTTGCAAGCCTGCCTGCCTCCGTGCAGGGCAGTGGCTGGACACATTCTTGGCCCCAAATGAGGAAACAGACTCTTTCCTTTGGCAAGGTCCAACTTTTATAGTAGCAGGCTTATTTCTTTTGGCCAGAATGAGTGGTAGAATGGTGGTTGGACACAGGGCAGTCGCATGATCACACTTGCTGTTAATAGGGAGTGTTTTTACGTGGTGACTTTCTTTTGTTTCATTAGGTAGAGATATGTTGAACTGAACTGTACACTCCAAGCTAGAGTTGTAGGATCATCTCGCAATTTAAAAATAGGTACCAATTCTTTGGGAATATTATTTGAAATGTTTGGAAATCTTTATAAAATGTCTACTAAATTCTGGTTGCACAGAATCTTCCTAAATGAGTGATATGAGTTTCTAAGCATATTTCCTTGTTGATTCTTAAGCTAGAAAGCCCTCTCCACTAATTGGGGTATTTTCCACAGTGCTGTGGTGGGCCTTGCCACATATTAAGATTGTTTCAGACGCACTAAACTTCCAAAGATATTGACATGTTTGCATTGTGGCTTAGTAAGAAAAAATCATACAGTACTTTTTCTTAGTTAAGTATGTCTAAATACTATCAGCCCAGCAAAGCAAGTGTGTTTTTCCATTTTGTTTGGATTTTACTGCATATGTCTCCCATCAGCTTCTCTCAGTTGCACTTTATAGACATTCCTGAGGCTATCCAGGGATATCTTTGATATCTTGCCTCTGGAATGAGTCAGGAAGAGGCAGTTATTGCTATTCATCTCTGGGATTTAACCATGTGTTGCAAAGAAAATTGCCTACTCTCTATACCTACCACATCCTCCTGGTGTAATAGGGTAGTAATATAACATTAGCATGCTATGCTGCTTATGGTGACATTAGTATTAACTATGAGGATTTTGACAATTGTGAACTAGGTATTTTGTCAAAGATCCTGGCTGTATCTCCATATAACTGCTTTGCCTGTCCATTAGATCTAATTTGAAGATCCTGATAAAAAGTGGAAATACAGAGGCATTGTGCTACTACTCAGCTCTTAACACTCTGACTTCAATTGATTTCTTTGGAGGAATAATTATTTGCCTCTTTGGGTAAATATGTTGAGCCTTCATTAATCCAATAAAGCACCAATATAATAAAGATATGTAGCTAACAGAAGCATCACCTTGCATTTTGAATTAGATCTTCACCAAGTTATTTCAAAGGGGTCCTATTTCACTACTGTTTTTGGCAACAGAGAATTAATCTTCAGATACATCTTCATCCTGTGCCTCCTTGTACATGCACTGAAGACCAGGACCCTGTGAGGTGCCTGGTCTGCCCACAGTGCTTTATTGGCTCCACTGTTATGACGAGGTCTTAACAAGGTAGGGTAGGCCCTAAAGCCATCATAACTGGTGTCCTTGTAAGACTAGAGAGTCACAGAAGAATGCTGTGTGACGATGAAGGCAGAGATTAGGGTGAGGTATTTATGAGCCAAGGAACGTAAGACATACCAGAAGCTAGGAATCAAGCTGGGAAAGGATCCTCCCAGTGGCTGTTAGAGTGAGCCTGGGTCTACCCAATCCTGGTTTTCAGACTTGGAGCCTCCACAGGCAGGAGCGAGTGGATTCCTGTGCTTTAAGCCCCCCAGTTTGTATTACTTTCTTACAGTAACACTGAAAACATTTGCTCCTGTTCTTGTTGGTAGCATCGTATAATTTGTCTGTAGACTTTTAATTTACTCTTGTAATATTGTTTTTTATGAGCAGAGTTTAATTGCTACTGAAACCGCAGGAATGAAATCTGCTCTTTGAGATTAGTCTTAGATGTGCTACACTGTCAAAACTGGGTCCAGATGGCAGGACCAAGTACATGGAATGTGATGTGGAAGTCAGATATAACAAATGAAACTCACCTCTGAGAGGTAACCAAGAGCCGCCCATACCTTAAAACAGTGAGCTCAGTGAAGCTTCTGAAATAGGGCATAGTCTCTTTGCCTGCCTGTCAGAAACCAGAGGAAGAATGACTTGAAATTTCTGATGATTGCATATAGGACTATTTTACCTGCTGCCTGAAATTCTAGGAGGAGGATTAGTTTGAATTTGACATACACATTTTGATAGAAGTTAATACAGAAATATAATGTTCAGGGTTGATGCTTGCTGGCTTCCTCTGCTAGCTAGTTAGGTGTTTGACAACACATCATTTTTTTTCTTTTTACATCACTATCTAGGGAACCACCTCCTAGAATGACCAATGACAAAAACGTACAGCATTTTCTTCTAGAAACCATTGTGCTCTCATACTTTCCCTGAATAGTTGTCTGCGGTAGGCCATGGTAACCACTTTTGTTTGGGAATACAATTTTATATGATCTTCATAAGAATTTAAGTTTATAGTTTTGCTGTGTTTCTGGCCTAATACAGGTTTAAATGCTAACCAGCTCACTCACTGTACTGCAGTCCAAGTTGAACAGACTTCTTGTTTCTGAATGTCAACACCACCTTCAAGGCACGAGATTTATAACCAGCTATTGAAGAAATTTAATGGCTGTATTTCATTGCCTGGAAATACTAATTTAAGGGAGCATTTTTGTCATCACAATATTAGTGAAATGAACAATTAAAGGATCCCTTTTGATGGAGTCTGCGTTTTTTTAGATCTGGCATCTTTGTTTAAAAACAAAAGAAACAAAATAGATTCATTATTTGGTTTTTGACTTCAGCAATACAATATGGTAATGTATCTTTCCTAAAAGTTTTGTACAGTTGTCTATCTAGAGAAAAGTATGTTTTTTAGGTGTGCATAATTGATGAAATGAGAGGAAAGTTCCAAAAAGTATCTATATGTGTAATGAATATTGTATATGTTTAAAAATAAAAGAATTTCCAGCTTTTAAAACAAGTCCTAAGTGTTAGAGTTATATACTCATTATCTTGTGGGGTGAAATGGCAGATGGTGTTAAATGGAGGTTTACTCAGAGAAGGAAGTTGTTGGCCACTGGACTCAGCTCTCTTCCGAAAGACCTGATGTTGTCTTGTGTCTCAATGCAGAGAGAGATCAACAAAATCTAATTTTAAGCATCACAGCTGGAATGGACAATTCCTTGAGGTAGCTGAGAGAGTCCTGGCCTAGGAAAGAGAAGACAGTTATGTCTGTTGCTGTGAGCTTCTGGTTTCTTTTCTCTTGAATTTTGTCTTTCAGCTAAGTATATTACTCCTATAAATTATTACGTAGAGACCAAACTTGAGTTGAACTAGACTAGTGGCAGATGCTGGGTTGGGGTCTCATCTGCTCCAAACACCAAACTCTGTTGCCATTATTAATGTCTTGATATCCCCCCTTGAGGTTCCAGTTATCATAGTTTGGACACAAGTTGGTGAAAGAATTGACATTCTATTCCTCTACTACCAGGCTTTCAAGAGTAGTATTTTTCATAATAGGATATTGTGCAAGGTCAAAGGCAAACTACCGATCATGCTGCCAGAAGAAAATCATCTTCAAAAGTGATTGTTAGGATGCCCTTTAAGAAATTAAAAATCAGGAAAGAACAACCCCTTTTACTGTAAAATAAAAACGAATAACTCAACAATTTAGAATTACAACATTTTCCTGTAACACTCTCTTTGAAGTACATTAGCTGTTTTAGTTAGGAAAAAATAATACTGTTCTTTCAAAATTTGTATACTTCTGAAGCTTGTCAGATGCTTTCCATAGTTTATTCTTATTAAATAGTAGTTTTTGAGAATTGTAATGGAGGTAATCAAGGCTTTGTGCAGGTGGTAATCTGAGTAAAGTTCTAACGTGTGTGTAGTGGATATCTATGACTTATAGGATGATTTATTAGGTGAAATAAGTTTAAGAACCTTTCTCTTTTATATACTTAATATTAGAAGAAAGCAAACTTTTAGGTAATAAAATGTATATTTAACTCATAAGTCTAACTCCAATGCAAAAATTGTCCTGTAAGTACTATGTTCGATGTCATTTTAGTATTTGAGAATAACTTTTCTATAAATTTAAAAATCCATCACTAACTTCTATTTTTCAGTTACTTTCAGAATACTATTATATTTAGAATATAATTTTATCCTTTAAAACAGGGTAAGGTAAAAAATGAATAATGGTAACTAGGAATCTTACCCTTAATATCTGTTTTAAATTTGTACAGCAGTTACTGTAGAAAAATTTCTCATTTAAATTGATTTCAGATATGCAGTTACCTTTTCAAAGAAAAGCATTCAACTGGTTTTACTTAGTTTCACAACAAGAAGTTCTGGACTAAATTGGAGTCTCTACAGGTTAAAGATTTTGCCCAGTGTTTTTTTTTGTTCTATTCCACACACTTACAGCTAGGCCTACAACATAATCTCTTGATAAACTGTTTTGAGAGACTGTATCACATCCATCCTTTTGGTGACACGTGTAGCATGTCCGTTTTCTGTAACTTGTTACAGAATTACATTGTGGGTCAGTAATCAGCCCTAGAATTCAGCAATGCTTGTAGGTATGTGCTTGTGTTAGAGACAATGCAGAGGTAACCCATTTGATTTTAATAGATCAGGGGAATGCTTGAGCAACTTTCTGACTTACTCAATACACTGCTACTTTGATTTTGGAAAGTGAGGTATCCTTTTGGTGCAGAATTTACCTGCCAAGATAAAGGTGTAAAAAGGGCATCTATTTTGGGCAGGAGTGCTTTGGTTTGCTTGATCTAAACAAAGCATCTCTAGAAATCCATTTCTGAGCTAATCCAGAGGAATAAAACCCCAAAACATAGGTATGATAAGGTGTGTACTGAGTGAGCATTTGTTGCGGTGGGTAACTGGATGATTATCATCACAATCATGGTGGTACTAGAATGGTGAGCTTCTGTGACATTAGTCTACTTACTATGATACTTTAAAACTGACTGCAGCTTTCACTTGTGGAGGTCTAATTCTCCAGTGCACTTAGGTGTTCTCTACCTGAGGTCACCAGTAAGATCTGGGAAGTACCTGCCACACTGAAAAAGCATATCCTGTGACCAACTGCATTGCAACAAGAACATAATTAGGCAGCGGTATGTTCCTAAAGAAATAACAGCATCAACTCTTTAGCTGTACAGTAGTACTGTGTATGTTTTTTCTATCAGAGCTGTATTTTAATAAAAAGGCGATTCTCATCTAGATATGTAATGATGTACTCAATTTGAATATGAGTTGATCTTTCAGAATTTCTGCTGAGAATAATTCTTGGATTTTTTTTTTTTTTTGTTATACAAAACCTTTTTGCCTTCTTTTCAATATTAAACTTTTACTATTAAGTAATCCTAACATGTTTATTTGAACACTATCACCTTTTCTGATTATATTACTTCAGTTATATTATTAACATTTCAGTAACTACTACTAAGTAATATCTTAATTCAAAGATTTAAACTGAAACCTTCAATCATGTGTAGAAATAGATTCAGTGTGCATTTGCTAAGCCTGTTCTAATTTAGACATTGTCAGTGTTATATGGGTGTAGTTTCTCCAAAATGAAGAATTTCCTTGGGGGCATGATTATGCTGCTTTCACATTCCTTCCTGCTCTGTTAAGTCTAATGAAGTTTATCTGTCCTCCAGGTGACCTACAAACGAGATCTGTATGCGGCTGAATCGATTATTAAGGGTATGTTTGGCCTTGTAATTGTCAGTTCCTGTGTTTCAAAAAATGTAAGCCAGTTCAGAATTTCTCATGACATTTTAAATCCCAGCTGTCTCAAAAGAATAAATGGCTGTAGGCCACTGAGGTCTGTGATTTGTTTTTAGAAAATAATTATATTTTGTTTCCTGTTATGAAATATCACTCAAGGCACATTGGCTTAATTTTTATAAAAGAAATACTTTTAATTTAAGATGGGGCATTGGTACTCTTGTGAGTCAACAGTGAAAACTGATATTTTAATGACATCTGTAAAAGTATCTCATGTTTACTGCTAAGATGCCTGCTCCATCCCTTAATGTTGAGACAGCGTCTTTCTTATGAGAAAAATATTTTTAAATTCATTTTTTTGTGTTCTGACGGTGATTGCCATTTTGTTTTGTAATTTTAGATAATATATATTACAAACCCTCTCTTGTTTTTTTTAAAGGACAATGCCTAACATTTCAGCTACACAGCCTATTTTAATTAGTACTCACAAAGTCATTATTATTTTTACGTGTAATTTTTTTTTTTTTTTGGTATCGGGGATCAAACTCACGACATCATGTCTGCCAAGCAGGCACTTACACCGCTGAACTGAACCTCTGGCCCTATAAAGTCATTATTATTGTCCTTAATATCGTGTTAGGATGCAGAAGGATATTTCTATATTTTTACATCATTGATCTTTAAATTGGATTTCTTAACTGGGGCATCATATTGGCATTTTAGATCCTGTCGTTTCTTGATTTAGTACTATTGTGCATTGTGCCTTGTATAGTAGCATGACTTATCTCTACTCAATAGATGCTTAGAAAGACCATTTTATCACTTACCTCCTCCCTGGGTTGTAGCTGTTAATTTTGTCAGATGTCCCCTCAATCATAAAATTAAGAACTATTGTTTTATTTTTTATTTTAAAGAGAAAAGACCAGAAAAATCAAGAAGCAAACAATTAAAAAAACAACAAAAGCAAAATGATGATAGCAACAGCAACAACAACAACAAAACAATGGCAATATAGGATTTCAAAACAAGAGGTTTTAACAATGGCTGTTTTATTGCATATTGTTATCCTCAAAATAATTGCTCAGGCTACCAGATAACAGGCATGCAAGACTGATCAAACAAAAAAATTTTCCTCTGAGCAGCTGCTTTTCCTTTTACTGTATGTATTGTAACTTTTGGATCTCATTTACTCTTTCAGTTTTTTTATACTAGTCAGACAATTCCATGTTTACACATGTCAGGCTGATTTATTTCACTTATGCATATGGTTTCTTGTTGCATCCATTTACCTATAAAATTTTGAATTTATTAGAGAACCACTGTTTTAAATATATAGACTTAGAAAGATCAGAATTGTTTACTTCAAATCATAAAACAAGTAATGTTTTATAAGAAGTCAGGGATTGACTATCAAAATCATATTATGGATAGAATTATAACACTCAAGTTTCTATTGAGAAGTAAGCTTTAAATTCAAACATTTATTGAAGTAGCAAAGGTGCTTAATCTGAGTTCTGATTGCATTAGTTCATTCTAAAAGCTTGGTAAATGCTTTTAACATTTCATTTTTGATAAAAACTATCAATTGACTTCACTTGCAGAAAACTAAGATCTGTCTTCTGATTACAACACTGTGTTTGTAGTTTTTGCTCCACTTCTTTGTTCCTCAAGCATATTTAGTTTCAAACCATTAGTGTACTCTAATTTGTGTATATAAACAGATGTTCTATAACCATAAATCAAAATGTTGACATATATTTATATATCAGCCAGGCAATGTATAAATATTACTTCAGAGAGGTTGGCTAAACCATGATGTAGTTGGTTATGCTTTCAACATAAATACAAATCTCAGTTTGGTTTTGTTACAACTTCATATCTGAAATACTTAGGTAAAATGGAACTAGACGCTTTTGTGAATAATTAGTAAGTGGTTCAACTGAGGATTCTTATGGTATAAAAACTATATTTTAACTATAATTGCAGAGATTATGACTTTGGAAGTTGTTAGGAGAAAGAATTTGTTTTCCTTATTAAATATTTGAAAAGTATTCTATTTTATGTCAGAGAAAATTATCAGGCTGCATGGATAAAAACAGTGATTTATGTTAACAAACTCTTAACAGTTTCTTTGTACTTTGAAGTTTGTGTTCTCAAAACTTTCCAGAAGACTCACACTGCTGGTACTAGAGGACTATTATTCTAGTTACACCCCAGAGCAGCAACATTGTGGTTAACAGAGGACTTGGAAGTAGAATTCCTAGCCCTGCTTCATCAGTCAGAATCTGCATTTTGAGAAAAACTCTGGGTAGTTACTTTGCACATTGAATTCCAAAAGCATTCCTGTTGCCCGCCCCCCAACCTTTTGTAGGTCTTTTCTTTTGAAAGCCACCTTATTGCATTCAAACTTTAAAGTGTTACTCTGCTGTGCCAGCTCCAAATGCTTATTGCTCACCTCAAGTAGCCCCCTGACTTCATAAATTGTACTAAATACTGATAACTGAGATCCTCTGGACTTACAAAAAAGAAAACTTCTGGATTAAGCAAAAAGTAAGTTTCAAAATATAATATAGACACAAGGCTATCCCAGTTATATGTTCACCCCTTTTACCTTTCCATAGTGTATTAATCATGTTTATCCAGGGGAAGAGAATGGATAGGGTGGGTGTAGACATACAGAGATTCACTGTGAGAGCTTGGCTCACAGGATTATGGAGGCTAAGTACGTGAGAGATCTACTATCTCGAGCCCTAAAAAGTTGGGGATTGGTGCTTGTACAATGCCAGAGACTTGAGAAACAGCAGGACCAGTAAGTAGTCTTTTAAACTCAACTTGGGACGTAGAGTGGGAGAAAATGAATTTCCTAATTCCAGAAGAGGAGGAAATTGCCTTTCCTCTTTTTTTTGTGGTTAGGTCTTCAGTGGATTAGAAGATGCCCATCCATCTTCTCTGCTCAGTTCACTCAAGCAAAGGCTAATTTTCTCAGAAACACTCGCACGCACACACTCACAGACACACCCAGCAGTGCTGCACCAGCTCTCTAGGTTTTCCTTAACCAAGTGAAATTGGCACACACATTTAACCATCACACCTAGTAAATGTTCAAGTGTTTTTCTAAACAGTACTATTATTATATAATACTTATTAGGCACTTACTTTAAGTGATGCATTGTTTGAAGCATTTTGTATATATTGTCTCTATCTTCTTCAAGAACTCAGTGATGTGAGTAGTGTTACTGTTACTATATTATAGTATATTTAAAGATTGTAAAGCAAACATTACCTTGAGAAGGACAGAAAGTAAATTCTAAATACAAGCATTTGCCTTTGGCACTTTCCCCTCTTCCATTATTGTCTTGGTTACTTTTCTGTCATTGCTCAGACAAAATACTTGATATACAGAATGAAAGAAGGAAAGGTTTATTTAGTTTACAGTTTGTGGAGGTCTCAGTCCATACTCAGCTGGCTGCAAATCAGGTTGGAATGGCTAACAGGCAACCATTCATAGCATCCACAAGTGACAAGAACAAAAAATGGGAAAGCACACCTCCTTTTCTCCCTTATATTGTATGCTGGCTACCTGCCCCTGCTGGGTACAGCACTGACAGTGCCAATCTCAGCAACAGATGATGAAACAATCACAAATGCTAGATTCAGCTGCCTTCAAAAGGCCCACACCCTATGACTGCATGAGTTCTTGGGAGACATCTAGACACAAACCATAATTTTTCATCCCTGATGCCCCAAAGACACATGCACATTCTTTATGTAAAAGGCATTTACTCTATCTCCAACTTGGACTTTGCTGAAAAGAACAAGTCTCAAGTCTCCTCCAAGAGCTAAGACAAACTCTTTTTCAAATGAAAACAAAGTTAAGCACTTTCAACATTCAATGGTACAAGGTAAACATCACCATTCCAAAGGGTACAAACATTCAATGGTACAAGGTAAACATCACCATTCCAAAGGGGGGATACAAAGGAATGGAACCAAAAGGAGCCCAAAATCCAGCAGGGCAAACATTAAGTCCTGGAATTCCACATGGAGCATCTCAAACAATCTGGTTATGAGCATTTAAAGACTTGAGTGACCCCACCCCCATGGCACTTCCAGTGGTTGTAGCTCCCATGGCCTCTCTCTTGGGCTTGCTTTGCTCCCTCTTTGCAGGTTTCCTTGGGCAATCAATTTTCCTGGCTTTTTCAAACTTCTGGATTTTCCATTGCACTTTTGCCTTCATGCCCACAGCTTCACATACTGCCCTTTCAGGGGCACGTTGCCTTGCCTCCCAGGTCTTCTGAAATCAAGGTGGAAGCCTTTTTCACCTCGGAACTCTTGCATTCTGTATGCTCCTAAAATCTGTTGATGCTGCTGAGTTCTCTGCCAGTTGGAGCAATAGCCAAGCTTTCCTCTCTGTTGACTGCAGAGGTTGAGTACCTGGATCATTGAGCACTCTGAACCTGATTGTGAGGATCAAGTTCTCTGTGTTGCCACCATTCAGGAATCTGGCACAGCTGCTACCATTTTGGAACCTTATGTGGCCTCTGCCATCATTCTGGACCTTGTGTGGCTGCTGCCACCATTCTTGAACATGGTGCTCTGTGACTTTTTCCGCAAAGCAAAGTCTTTCACTTCTGCAGTTTTGAGACTTCAAAGAATGGAGACATGCTGCTTCCTGTCATGTTCCCAGGCCATTTTTCTATTCTTTTGTTCTTTCTCAGCAATTGTGATCTCAGCTCTATCTCTATAGTCCATAGCTTTATTAGTGCTTCCTTTCTGGTCAGAATCACAATATTTTAAATCATCCTTTTGGGATCTTTGCTCTTGATACACAACATAAATCTGGCTAAAACTCTCAAATAGCCATGCCATTGCCTCTCCATTCAATTGCCTTGAAATTTCTTTTGCTGGATTAATTAATACATTACCCTCAAGTCCCAGACAGTCTCTGGACAGGAGCAAAATGCAGACAAGCTTTG